AATCTTCCGGTGTAATTTGTACACCAGGCGTGTCCAACCTTTTTCAACTTGCGGGCTATCACATTCGAAATTTATAATTATACGACTGCGGGTCGTATATACAATATACTTCACGGTTTTTTATTTTTTTTTTTTAATTTCGATAAAATGTACAGTAGATATATTAGGGACTGTTCAACTTGAACTTATTGATTTAAAAACAAATAATCATTTGAAAGATTTATATTAAGATGTCACAGATAAAAACACAGATTTAATTCATTTTAATAAGACCTTTCCTGATGATTTTCCAAAAAAAAAGAAAAAATTAAAGCGTATATTTACATTATTTGGTTCTACTTATATTTGTGTACAAACGTTTTCACACATGAATTCCGCAAAATGTTCAGAAATATCTCGTTTGACTGATGAACACTTACACTTCTTATTAAGAATTGGAGTTTCACATTTCATTTCAAATATTAAAAAATTGGTWAAAGAAAAACAAGCCCAAATTTCACACTAATATATTTCTATTAATATTATAAAATCTAATACATTTTTTTTATATTAAAATTAAAAATTCTAAGATATTTTTTAACTCTTAAAAGCTTATTAAAATAAAATTCTTTATAAATTATAATTTTTATTTTTTACACCTATGTCCTATACAAATTTTTAATTTTTATACAATGGTCTCGGGCCGGTTGGAATACTTCCGCGGGCCGCGGGTTGGGCACTCCTGTTGTACACTATACAGAGTGATTCCTGAATTATGCCAAACTCTTTTTATGGTTAAATTATAAATGAATTACGAAACAACTAAATTGATTTAATATTTTAATCTATAGGATATATTTTGATGTAACACCGCCATGATGGTGTGGGTCAACACTCAACACCGCAGTTGCATTCACCAAGACCATTATACTATCAGACCCCAGAGGTCAGCTGTGCCCTCAGAGTTATACACGTCTAACAGGACTGTCTCGTATGATGCATCACTCCTGCTGATGGGTATATATCAAGGTAATCTATTTATGTCAGAGAGAATTAAGGATACAATTGGTTTGGATGACTTAGGGAACGTTTCACGGTACTCATTTACTCTCTCAAGCCAAGATAAAAATCACTGACCGGAATGAGACCATCAATTAATGGCATCGGATGTCTACGACCAAAGACATGATGTTTAATCCCGATGYTGCCTACCCTTTTATTGCGGACACTATGGAACATACCTCGTATTGTCCGAACATTTATCCAGTAATGGTCGAAATACGATGTGGTCTGGTTCTTGAAGACTTATATTTGAACTATGTTAAGAAGATGCTTCAACTAGAAGAAGTGGAAGAGAWTTACAGAATATTTTACAAAATGGTGTAGGTGCAACTACTGCAACTGACCAACGTTCTTTATTCCTCCTACATGGTTGAATCATGGGCAGGATGGTGATCACGGTCACTAGTCGGAAATTAGAATGAACGAGAGAATCGGCGAACTCCGACTGGTTTGGAAATCAATGTAAAAACGATAACTTCTGGAAAGCGCCATAAAATTAATTATACGTATATAAACTGTGAAAGGGTAAGTCAGGGCCTGTGACTAAGCTAAATGTATAAAAACCGTTAGCGCCCTCTCAACTTAAAATCGGGAAAATCATATTTGATTTTAAAATGTAATTGATTCAAGACTGATTCTTGAATTTGATTTCAGAAAAGCACCTTCATAGGTACTATTGTTTTTTTTTTTTTTTTAAATGGATGGACTTGATAATTTCAGCTACTTTTTGTTTAGGTATATTCTTATTTACTATAACACACTTCTCAAATCTGTAATTCACAATTTCAATATCATTCTWCTAGGTATACATACTTTGTTTCTGGGTTGATTAAAAAAAGAGGTTGTAGTATCAAAGTATAATTAATATTTAAATCAAAACTATCTAGGAGTTAGAGAATTTAAATTGATTGGATGTAACCGAATATCAATAAACTTKATGCATTTTGATGATTTGTGAAATAAAACTACTTACATAGAAAGTTATTTTACACACACAATAATATTGMATTTTAGCTCTTCATTATTTGATAATAATAATAAGTAAATCACATAATTATTATAGATAAGAATATCTGAATATATACTTAACCTAACCTACACTGGGGCTGTGAAAATACTTTGGTTAAGTAAAATGAATTGATAATTGATTTTTATATTATGTTTTAATGAAACAGTTAATTATATTATACATTATTTTAATTGACAACAGCAATATTTAAATCGAATAGGTACCTGTTGACATTTTCCATTTTATCAAATGTCTTAATTTCAACTAACTAAATGATAAATCTTCTTAACAATGTAGACATTTTCTGATATCTTATCTGGGTGAGATTCAACTTAAGTCCATAATTCTTAATTATTATCAACTAGCGTGATTACAATTACAAACATAGTGGTAGTATGCTGTGAGCATGTCTTATCTTTAAAGGATTAGGTTAGTCAGCACTTCAACCCAATTTTTTTACTCAAATATAGTGTCTATAGTATATTAATTTTGATTTGTAAATATTTTTTAAACCGAAGTTCTATTCCAAGTTGAATCTATAAGACATTTTGATTCTATAGAACTGTGAATGCTTCATTCACAATACATATTTAATTAAAACAATATATTATATGTATAAAAAAATATTAAATTATTATAAAATACAAACAACTAGAGTCAATATA